TTGTGTGTCTAGTCTCTGTCGTTTAGTCTCCATTATAGATACTGTCTCGGGTTCTTCGTCGTCTTTCTTAGGTGCGATAGTTGTTGTTGTCGCGGTGGTGGTTGCAGTTGTGGGCTTTGTCTCATGTTCCTCCGGTTTTATAGTAGTTCTGGGAGGAGGTTCGGAGTCTGTTTGTTCTGTGTTTTCTTCCGGTAGTTCTACTATCGGTTGTGGTCTACGGTATCTTTTGCGTCTAGTCTCTAGCCAATCGATTTTATCACCAGTATACGGTTGTATGTCGGGATTGTTTTTGGACATCTGCCAAAGGGCGTCAAGGTATGGATTTGGGTTTGCAATGGTGGTAGCATTTTTCTTTAACATATCTCTTAAGCGTGCTCGTCCGAATGTACTGGTAATCATATAGGTGTCGAAGAAATGCATAACCTTTTCCATTTGACTTTGATACTTTTCCCCGTGGTTCCATCCCTTGAGTAGTATTTCTCCATGTTCAGCTAATTTGTCGGGGTTGTTTTCGATGAATTCTTTAATATTTTCGACCTTATCCCACTTAGTTGGATGTAAACCGAAGAGAGACCAGAATAGATCGTAGAATGGTTTGACCCAGTTCCATCGATCTGTTAGTGTGAATAGGAGTTCCTGAGCCGGGATGGGGAATATTCGCTCGTACCACCGTATTCGCTGAGCGGTATCCATGTTAATGATCTTAACCCCCCGTGTTAGTGTTTAAATAGAAGGCATTATAGGAGTACAGGAGTAAAATTTCAAATATTTTTAAAATACCAGTTGCGAAAATGGCAAGTACATAAATGACAAGGGGGTTCGGGGAGTTCCTCACTCCCTACTTTAATCAAAAATTTGTAATAAAAACACCGTTCTAAAATAGCTTTCCCGTCAGGGTCCAGGACATAGTACACCAAGTTGTTATTAGTAGTAATAAGCACGGGTAGTCTTTGCAGTCGTTCATCTTTTTGGTGCTTCACGTGAATGTCAAAAGGGTTTCCTCCGAGTAATTCCTTAAAATCGTTGACTGTTAATTGGGTAATCCGAGGTTCTTCCATCAAAGCGAGCGCTTTGTTTAACAAGTTCATCAGGAAAAATTGCGAGTGATCTCCTGATCTCTGCACTGTGCCGTAGATGTAATTTTCAGCAATGAGTTTCACAAACAGTGTTTTACCAGTGGTAGTGGGCCCCTCGATGACAAAGGCATTCTTCCTCGTGCATACTTTGTTCATGACCAGTGTCAAGTCAGTTAGGAATTGTTGTTTGTTGATCTTGTTGGCTGCCATAAGTTGATCTAACCAGTGCTCTCCTTCCAAAGTGTGTGCTGGGTGCTGACATTGGCGGTTATGATAATTAGTCATGAGTATCTCCTCGAACCGCATGGCAAGCTGTTTGGATAACATGCCGGCGATATAGTTGTTGATCGAGTGTTCAGCCGTCTCTTTCCATTGTGGCCCGTATTCATCGTAAATATCATCCCGGTCGTCACAGGACATAGCCATGTAAAATTCATTGTAGCTTCGGGCATCATAGGCTTCAATCAGTCCTTTCATAAGTTCGCGCCTTCTTTTGCGATTGATATTATTGTGCTTTTGTTTGGATCCTCTGTCGTCTCTTAATAGGGTAGCACAATCTTTCCTTTCTCGTGGTACCATATACAAATCGTCTCTTAAATGTTCCAATTTCTTGCCAATACAGATAATTGGCGTTTGAGCGGCCCGGACCAAGTATGCCGCAAAATGGTTCCAGTTGATCACTGGTTGCACAGTTGCCATAATGGACATGGATTGTCGTCTATCAAGATTCCCGCTCTCAATTAGCCGTTGAATGGTCCTCGTTTTGTTTTGGGGGCAGCATTCAAACACAAAGTGGTAATGATCCCCATGATCCACATATAGGCAGTTTGCCCTTGTTCCCCGTTCAAACCGAGGTGGTTGACCTCGGTACACAAAGGTCCACAGCTTGTTGTTGTCTGTGATGGAGGGTTCCGGGCTAAACAATTGTCTCCGTTTAGAGTGCCACACATTTGATAAATCCAATGGAGATGGTCGATATTGTGTAGGCGGTGTTTGAACTACTGGTATTGTGTCTGCTTCTGCGGGGTTGTATTGGTGGGAGGTCCAGAATTCTTCGTCCACGGCTGCATCCGAGAACAAATCCGGACTTGGTGGTTGATGATTTTGGTGATCCACCCATTGTTCAAAACTGAGAGTCGGACTTGGTGGATTTCCACCAGACACAGGGCTCTTTTCAGCTGATCCTTACAATCCGAGAGCGAGCGGAGAAATGAGCGGAGCTCCGTGTATCTTTTGTTATATACTCCACTGAAAAACCAATCAGATTCTCCACTCCTT